CTGCAAGGTTAGATTGTGTAACTTGAACATGTGTTTTGTATGACCGTCATCTAATAACAAGACTGTAACTCAGGCAGTATGTGGATGGAGTGGGATTGATGTATTAGGACCTTTTCAGTTATAAGTAGCAGAACCCTAATTCATAGTAGCTTAGGACAATGGGGTATTTATCCATTCCTGTCTGTTGGAGGAATATTAGCATAGCTCAGAGAACCAAAGGAAAAGTGTTAAGGACCAGAAACTGGATGTGATACGCTTCTTGTCCTTTGTCCCTCTCTACCATCCTTCCTCTCAGCTTGTTTGTGTCTCTCGTTGCCTCCTCCCTTCCTGTTGCAGAGGGTCCTGCCCCACATGGATGGTACATGGCTGCAATGGCTTCAGTGTCCCAGGCCATGGCAAGAAGAAGATAACTCTCTCCTCCCAGGCTTCATAGATTAATCCCCAGTAACTAACTTGTTTGGGTCATGTGCACGTTGAGGCAGATGGATGTCATTGACTGGTAGCTAGTGGGGCAGGGCATACTACCCCAAAACAGAGACATGGTAAGGATAGAGGAGTGACCTCACAGGCTTGATTTTTTTTATGATGCAACAGAAAGGCTTGCAATGGGATAAAAGGGTTTTAAGGCATTGCAGGGTCCCAAACTAAAACTCTGTGGGAAATTTTGAAAAACAAAATGACACACACACACACACACACACACACACACACACACACACACATCAGGTATTTGGGAACCCTTTGAAACCCAGTATCTAATCAACCTGCCTGGAAAGCCATGTGGGGACATTGCATATTCATGAGATTATGGTGAAGTGAACTTCAAATGTAAACATACAGAGAGTTAGGGGAGTAGAAAGTGTGAAGAGAGAGATGGATTTCTAGATGAGAATGGAGGGATTTCTCTTCCCTATCCTAGAAATGTGACTGAACCTAAGGACACTTTCTCCCAAGAGGACTTGCTCATGGTTTAGAGTCACATGCAAGTGATGGACAGACTTTAATAACTGAGTTTCCAGTATCACTTCTCTATCACATTTAATTCACTCAGCTTTAAACAAGTCACTGAACATGTGTAGTAAGGTCATAGACTCTTCATGTTAAACATGGAACAAAGTAAATCCAGCAGGCAAGCAGGAAGATTTTAGAATTGTCTCCTTTCCCTTAGGGATTTGATGGCTACCTTAGAAGTCATAGTGGTTGGAATGTCTAGCCAGCTGCATAGACTTCCTTTTTTGTCTTACATTGTCTAAGAATGATTACACCAGGCTGTCAAGAGATCCACATAGCTTATATTTGCCAGGCAATTGAAGCCATGCTGGGTATCTGCTTGGGAGGTTTGGACAGCATTAGACTCGATTTTACTTGCACTGGTAGCTCTAAGAAGATGTTAGTCCTGAAGCAAATGCATCCATCCAAGAGCCATGGACTCAGATGCCTGTCTGCCCTGGATACACAGCTGGGAATGGGATGTGGTGCTTCCTTTAGCATGCTTCAGAGGCCTTGGGCAGACATTGACTGCAAGAGTCAAGAGCCACCATTGCTCTGCTGCGGAAGGCAAAGGACATCAGGAGATTGAATTTGTTGACTATAGATTTTAGACTGCATGTCGCTCTGTATTCTGACCAAGAACCAAGTCTGTGCATTCCTATTTCATAGTGAGAACCATTTGCCTTGTTCAAGGATGGGTTGTCCTGGCCATCGATTGGCCTAGAAAGTTTGCTGTCTCCCAGCCTCTTATCTGAGGACTGTTCCCCTCTGATGCCATTTGGAAATGTCTGAAGACTGCTTTCAATGTCGTGACTAAGGGGCCTGACGCCTTTCTGTAGTGGGCACAGTCCCTGAATGCTGTCAGTCCTCCTGCGATGTACATGGCAGTCACCACACCCAGAATTATGACCCCTAATTGATCATTGTGTCGAGGGTGAGGAAGCTGCACTGGAAGTTGACTTCCTAAATTTCATCAGAAGTAGCAGGAACTGCAGATAGAAGGCTAGAATGTTGGTAAAATGTGCACCAGATTTTTTGGTCTATAATTGTGTCTCCTTCTCCACCCAGGAAAGCATTGCTCCTCCCAGGCCCAATCACGCCAGGCCCTTGCTTTTGTTACTGCCAGAGAAACCACAGATCTAAAGGGGCTTGGTTAAGAGAATCCTATCCCAATGTTCTCTCAATGGTTGCTTTGTTCACACTGGCCTCTTACTCTCCAAGGGAGACTCCAGAGAGCCATGTTCTTGTATTCTCACCTGTTCAGCAGGTTTTCCCTCAGCAGTTAAGAGGGTAGGAAAACAAGACTGGTCTTTGATTTCTAGAACGTTAGAAGATGTCTTTTGGATATAATTTTAGAGGGTTTTATGTCGCAGTAGAAGGGAATGCTCAAAATTTATTTTCATTTCTATCATCTATTCCCATGATCCCTTCCCAGGATTGTGTGTTCTTTGTTTTGAATAGTCTATGTTCACGTTAGAACCCGTTTCTTGATTCTTCTTCAGCATGTAACTGAATTTGAATCCTGGACTGAAGTGAATTTGGATCCTAGAATACTTTGTCCTTAAATTTTTTACATATTTAAACAGGGTACAGAATACGTAGAGGAAGTTGTTTGCTTGTGTTTGCACAAACGAGGCAGCATAATTATTTAACAGGTCCTTATTGTGGGTTATCTAATTGTTTTCGAGTTGGGGAATCATAAACAAAACAGCAGTTGGCTCTGTTAGTAATTTTTTCTTGAGGATACCATCTTAGAATATTGGTTATTCAAACAGAATGCAAAAAATTTGGTAGTTTAGCAAAGGCCCTCTGGAAAGTTGTACTAATTTACACTCTGTGCCTAGAGATAAACTTCCTTCACTGGAAGTCACAAACAAAGAGTTTGGTAGAGTGTCTAAGGGTTCAAGAGCCTGCCAACTTTTGACCCAACTACTCTCTGAGTGCTTCCTCTTACTAGTCTTACTCTGACTTTCTTGGCTTCAGCAACTCACCTATTTTCAGAAACATACCAGGTATGTTCCTGCCTCCGAGCCTTTGCACTTGCTGTTCCCTTGTCCAGGAATGTGGTTTTTCCTGATATCCACAGGTCCCTCTTCTTTGCCGCTCTAGAGCTTTGTTCAAATGCTGTCTTCTCTGTAAAGCTTTCCCTAAACTTCCTGTTTAAAATTGTGTTACTCATGTCCACCATGTCTCCCCCCTCAACCACTGATGCACGCCTGCACCGTAGTCTCCTTCCCCAGTGTGTTTTTCTCTGTGCCCCTTGTTACCGTCTGACATCCAGATCCGCTGGTGCTGTATACTCAGCCCTGGGAACAGGCCTGGCACAGAGTGGAGGCTCAATCATGATTAAACCCACTTTGTACATCTGCCCTTGCTGCTTATCACTGATTAGCTCCCCAGCAGCTTCCCTAGTCACCTTTGACCATTGCCATTGGTTCATTGCCTTTGCTTGTCAGCTCTGCTGAGGTCAGATGTTTACATAAGTGCTAGTGTCACTGAGTTTCCACCATGAACTCTGCTGTCTTTGTCCCCTCAGTCATGTTCAGCTGTCATGGAGATCTGACAAGGCGTACTCTGGTCTGAGAAAGAACCAAATGCATACATTTGATTAAAATCTTCATATAGAGGTCAATTTTTAAGAAATAGACTAAGATCCCAATAGAAAAGGGCAAAAGATTTGGACAGTTCACAGAGTAGCAGCCATGTACCTTCCCTTCTTTGTGTTCAACCTCATTTTTGAGAAGAAAGACACAAGTTAAAAGTCCATGGGAATGTGTGATTTCCAACCTGTCAGGCTTGCACTGACTCCATCTGTTGATAAGGCTGTAAGGAAACAGGCAAGAAACCCCATGCATTGCTAGAGGGAGTGTAACTTGGTAGAACCTTGATGGAAGGACATTTGGAAGTGGAGATCAGAAGTTAAAACTACATATACTCTTTGACCCAGCAGTTTTCACTTCTGTGAATCTGTTGTAAGTGCATACTTTTCACTTGTGTAAAATTATACCTGCATGAATTTATGCATTACAGTCTTGTTTATAATATTCAAAAATAAGAATGAAATCATAAAACAACTCACAATAGAGACCTGGTTCATCATGTAGGGGACATCCATACTATGAAGTTCTGTGCTCCATTTGTAGTATCAGAGATTCAGAATCCATGCTTAATACTAAGGGGACAATGTAATGACTTATGCTTGTTTCATATCTGAGGATGTTCTGAAAGGCTTCAAAAAGAACTAGCAACTTGGAATTGCTGGGGAGCTGGGGGACTGGGATGAAAATGTTTACAGGGTGGGGGTAACATTGGGGAAGGGAGACTCTATGCAGTACATCTTCACACACACACGCGCACACACACATGCACACGCACACTATTCACTCAAATGAGAATTCAAGGTCTCTCCTGAATACTGCTCCATCTGCATGTGTACATTCTCCGCCCCTGGAAGGTGCATTGTGTGAACTGGCCTTGGGGAGGGAATCTGTGTGAATGTGTATGAACTCTTGGGGCATTTCTTCTTCCTCATGATATCCTGGTTGCTATAGTGCAGAGATCTATTTGTGACACACAGAAAACGCTTTAAATAAAAGCTGTTTCCTGACCATGACTTCCTGGGCAATCTGTCCTTCCGGAGACTGTTGAGCACCAGGCGTTCACATGCATGTCTTGACAGAGAGCAAGCCCTGATCACTCAGATCCTGGGCACCATTTAGAGCAGGATCCAGTGGTAAGGGGAAGCTTTCTTTCCACTGAGAGTTCATGTAAGCCAGACCCCCAGGGCAGCATGTCCCAGAGGCTTCGCCTCAAGCCATTGGTAAGGTCCCCCTGTCTTTCTTGGGGAGCCTGTGGTGCCATTGACTGCACCCCTGCACCTTCAGCACCCAGGCATCAAAGGGAGCCGTTTCTTATACTTAAACCACCAGTGAAAACAGGAAGTGATGAAGCAAAATTCGCCCTGCGTTTATACCGAGCGACTTCTGTTTCTCTTTGTCCTTTTTCATTAGGTATAGACACGTGTGGCCGACCACGCTGTAGGATCTCCAGTTCCACTGGCTTCGGACTTCCTCAGACCTTACGATGCCGCCACCCGCAGACATCGTCAAGGTGGCCATAGAATGGCCGGGCGCCTTCCCCAAACTCATGGAAATCGATCAGGTTAGTAAGGAGCACAGATAGCATTTGGGTGGTTATTTTCCATTTCCTTTCTGCATCGGAATGCAGATACACACTTGGATGGCCTTTTTTGTCCCTTTTTCTCCTCTGGCTGTGTTGACAAATCTGTACAATAACAGTTGTAGGGTAGTTTGATTTCTGTACCACATACAGTGGCGACGGATGGGGTTTTCTAATCTTGTAGTGCCTAGTGGATTGTGTCAACATACAGTTTGCATCTGAAGCAGTGAGGGAGAACAGGGCCAGTGGCTGGGGATCTGAGCAGTTGACACAGTGGAACTGTCCCAGCCCTGCCTTTCAGTGACTCATGAATGCGTGCAGATTGTTTTAATGCAAAACTTATTTTTGAATCGTTCTCCCCTTTGCATTTTGCAGAAGCAGCCAACAAGCACATTGGTACTTAACGGCTTCAGAATGAACTTAGAGAGGGGCTCAGTTGTGGGTCTCATACAATTGTGATTTTATTTTTAGTGTAAAATCCTTTGTGTTTATTGTATTGTTCAGCTTTAATACATACTCAGCAAATATTTACTGAATGAAAAATATCAAGAAGGTTCCTAAGAATGATTTTTATCTATGAGACTGTCCATTAGCTTGGATCTCGATGGTCATGTGGTGTGGGTCTCATTTACTATTTGCGTATAGATTGTCTCAGGAAGGTTAGTTTTGTCTCAGCTTACTGTAGTCATTCTAGAACAAATGATTGGAAGGAAGAAAGGGTGAGACTGAATGTACTCTACAGGTTAAAAAAAGCATGTAATGTGGGATTCTACATGGTTTTCTACATTTTCCAAATTAGACTACCATAACTACTCTAACCATATGTTCCTGATATGACTTCTTAATTAAGATTTGCAATTTTTTTCCTGGTAGGATTTTATTATCTGGTTGAAGATCACAGGAGGAGTTATATGGGATATTGTGAATTCAAAGGAATCATTAAAACAAACTGTATAGGTCAATCAGAATTAGTTGTGCTTAAACTTGAATGTAAAAAAGGGTACATTTGGGGAATTGTTGCAAAGAGATGTCATCAGACCAGCTTTAACTGAACTCTGAGATGTTTCTTTCTGAGTCTAGAAGTAACCCATGGAAGTAGAAAGCAGTAGAGACACTCAGTAGCTTCACAAGCATGTGCCAGGCAGCAGACATTCATCTTTTTGTATGTGTGTTTTGATAGAGGATACTCATTCAATTTTACATTTAAAAAAAGGATCTAGGGATCCTTGCTGCAGACAAAACTTGGTTAGGATTAGGTGTGGTCACAATCTAAGAGAACAATGATTTGTGTAAGATAGAAGCTGGGGACACACACACACACAGCTGTCCTGAGCTCTGGGGAAGAAGCTCTGTAGTAGTATGAACTAGGGGTCTTTCTGCCTTATTGCTTTGCCTTTCTTAGTGTGAGCTCATAGACTCTCAGGTCATACCTAAGCCTTTTGAACCAGAAACTGCATGCTAGCAAGATCCCCAGGGCATTCTTGCCATAGTTGTCTGTGACGTGCTGAGCTGCACACATGGTGCACAAACCACCTGGGACACCTGTTCAAATAAATGTTCTTGGTGGCTGCATCCCAAGAGTCCAATTTAGTGGTTCTGATGAGCTGTGTCATTTTGATCCAACCATGGTTGGTGGAGTTTGCGAACCCATGGTTTAAGAGAGCAGTTGCTGACACACATTGCTGGGCATCTGAGCAGTGCTTTTGGTGTTGTGTGCCTTTGGGGATGGCCTTTGCTATGTGTGCGTTTTAATAATCTTTTAAAAAATCCTTTTATTTTTGGGATTATTTTAGGTTTAGAGAAAATTTCAAAGATTGTATACCTTTACATTTATTTCTTTGTATTTCCTGACGTTAACATCTTATTATCGTCTTGATACATTTGTCAGAACTAAGAAACGAACATTGGCATGTTACCTTAACTAAACTACAGACTCTATTTAGATTTCACAGTGTTTCCACAAATCCTTTTTTGTTCCAGGAATAACAACCATGTTGTATTTAGTTGTCCTATTTTTTGATCTCCTCTAATCTTTGATATTTTCTTTGTATTTCATGGCCTGATAGTTTTGAGGCTTAACTTCATTTTGATACAATTTCAAATAGAGAAATTACACGGATCATAAAAAGAACTCCTTGCATATACTTTTTCTGAACCTCTTGATGGAGTCTGGTAGACACTACCCCTCTTTATCCCTAAAAATTAAGTGTGTATTTCCTTAAAAAAATCACTCCCTTAACATAACCACAGTATATTTATAAAAACCAAGAAAGTGAACACTGGTCTAACACTGTCATCTGATTCGTAGTTCATAGTCCATATTCACATTTCATTATTTGTCACAATAAAGTCATTTTATATCTATTTTCCCTAATATTTCATGGTACTGGAGAACTCAGGGCATCAGGCTTGCTAGGCAGGAGCTCTACCAGTTGAGCCATGTCCTCTACCTGTAGTCTAATGTTGCATCCAGGATCATGTACTTACTTATTGTCGTGTCTCTTTGGTCTCTATTCATCTGTTCATCTAGAACAACTCTAGTCTTTCTTTATCTTTTGTGATATTTTTGTGTAACACAGGACAACTGTATTGTGGAAACTCTTTCAGTTTGGGTAGTTTGATATACCCCATCAATCAGATTTGAGTTTTACATTTTTGGTAGAAATACAAGAGAAATGATATTGTGTCCTTTTCAGTGCATCCTATCAGGAGGTACATGATAATGCTTGTTGCATTCCTGGTGATTGTTCTGGTCTTACAGATGAGAATATTGAACTTCATGTTGCATTAGTCAATGACAGATTAGCACATAACCTCAGGCTTCCCTTTCTCTGAAGACTGAACTTTTTATCAGTTGACTAAATTGGTGGAGTGAGGACTTGGTAGGAGAACTGAAATGCCCTACATGGGCCATAAAGAGTTGAAGCAATGATTGTTACCTGAGTTCTTTCCCTGGTCCTCTGTCTTACTCAGTAAGAATCATGTAACCTGCCCTTCTCATACTGCATGCGAGCTTCATTTAGAAAGTTCTTTGCTTCTTTCTATCCTGTTGGCTACTGTTTCACTAAGAGGCACTTTCAGAAGCTGGGTTAGTTATTGTGTCTCTGTGTTCTCCCCAAATCGCAAGTCTCTACTTACTGCACTGTGTTGTCATTGTCTCTAGATTTGAACCAGTGGTGCTCAACCTGGAATGTTGTACAAGAGTCACCCCGGAGGCTTGCACAAAGTGCCCAATATCAGTCCTTGCTGTACAGATTTTCATTCTGTGGCCCAGGAGTAGGATGGTGGCTGAATCCCGGTCTGTGATACGCAGGTTCACAGTTTGAGAAATAGTTAGTAGACAGGGAGCCACTTGGTCTCCCAGTGCTGCTTCTCCAGTCTCTGGTGGACAGTCCAGACTTAATAAATGGATATTTCACTAATGAATTAGTGGCAGAAGGAGCTTCCTTAATGATGGTTATCTTATCCCATGATCAGTTCACTCAGCCTATTGTGTTCAAGGGGACGTCTGCTCACAGCAGACTTGTTTACGCTCTTTATAAATTTGGAAGCAACATTTCTGAGTTTCCACTCAGCAGGAAGAAGCCCCTAGAAGCTTTGTATCAGTGGATTTTGCTGTAGTATATGGAGCTCTCCCGAGTATTGTCAGCCAGCTCATTCCTGGCTTCTGCTCCCGTTGTTTATTGTTAGTTGAGTTTCAACCTCAGGGGGCCACTTGGGGCTAAGGAGGATGGTTGTCTGGATATGCTGAAGCTAAAAAGTTCCTGCATCCTCTGTTCTTGTTAATGCTTGTTTGCTGACCAGTGGATTTTTCGGTCAAGAGCACAGGACTCTGAACACTTTCACAACAGGTACTACTGAAAGGTAGGTGGCATAAACAGGGGAGTATAGGCTGCAGAGAGGAGTCCCAATGTTCATTCTTTCACCTGCTGTAGCATGGTACTTTGCCCTGGGTAATTTATAAACCATCGCTCACAGTTCTAGAGGTTGGAAGTCCAAGATCAAGGCTTCTGGATTCAGGATCTGGTAGGGACTGTTCCCCATAGATGATGCCCTCTGTATGACCTCTCACTGTTGAAGGAAGGGGCAGACAGGCTCCTGAGCCTCTTTTATAAGACTCCATGCTCTTGGCCTAGTCACATCCAAAAAGCTTTGCCTCTTCACACACCTACCATGGGAGTAAATTTCAACAGATGAAGTTGGGGTGAGGTACCTTCAAACCATAGCAGTCTTAGAGCCCTGAGTGATTTATTGAGCCTCTCTGAGTCCTACTTTGTCTGTCTTTGTCTTGTAAAGTCAGGATAATAATTTGCTACATTTATGTCTTTTGTGATGACTAAAGAAACTGTAAAAAGAACATAGCATATTGCCTGACTCGGAGCAATTGCTCAAAAAGGCAGCCATTATTGCTGTTAATTTAAGCAAGTTTTCACTACGTTGGAAGGTTATACTCTTAAGTTCTACCTGCTCTTCCATTGTGAAAGACCCCCTACCTCACCCTGCTTTTATTCTTCCTAGCTTTATAAATGTTTAGGTAGGGCTGAGTGCCCATGGCTCATGCCTGGAATCCTAGCTATGCAGGAGACAGAGATTAGGAGGATCAAGGTACAAAGCCAGCCTGGGCACATAATTCACAAGACCCTATCTTGAAAAAACCCTTCACAAAAAATGGGCTGCTGGAGTGACTCAAGGTGTAGGTCCTGAAGTCAAACCCCAGTACAACAACAACAAAAAATGTTTAGGTAGGAGAGATGCAAGAGATGCAAGGGATCATCTGATAATAAAGGAATGTACTAATTGGGCATGTAGCCAGTTCATGCTGTAGAATTTTCAGTGGCTCCCTAGTACTCCTCCATTATATTTTCTTCTATCTCTTGGCCACCCATCAACATTTCTAGACAGTGGCTCTTCTGTTTCTTGCACAAACTCTCTACATTTCAATATCCTCTCCCATGCCATGCCCCCTTATACTTTGCTTTCCC